TATTATTACTTATGTATTTTATTGTTCATTATATCCTTATTGTATTCTAATCTAGATCCCAGAAGGGATACAATATCAATAAAGGTTGTTATTATACTTAGATTTCTTGGTATTTTGCAATATTATGTTCTTTTTGTTTCTGCTTTTCCACTAATTTTCACTTTTCTTTGTTGTCTGCTTAATTTGAAATGTTCATGAGTGCAGGTGTAATTCCTAGAAAGTGAAGTGAAAGTGCTCCCCATAAAGCAAATATTAGTTATCCGACACTGTATATGCCATGAATTATAGAAAAGATTGTGTAGATTACATTCATTTACTTTGAGCTTAAAAGATTCATTTTTTAAATTCCCTTTAAGTTTTAAATTGCCTGTTTCTTTTTCCATTTATATAGAGGAAGTATGTGTTTTGTTTTCTTTTTAAATTTTTTTTTTGCAGCTCCTTATAACTTAGTGAGCCCCTGATTTAAAAGGGTAGCAACAAATAAATAAATAAATAAAAAAATTATATTACAGTGGTAATTAAAATAAAATAAATTCATCTAACACTACTCAATTGGTATTAAGTTTTTTTGGTATTATAACCCGAGCTTTGTGTATCATATATGTCCATGTGAGGGCGCTGTTTAAATTCTTATACCCCTGAGAAAAGATCAGAACTATATTTGCTCTATTAGAAGAGTATCTCCAATAGAAGCAAGGTGACATAAACCAAAAATTACATTGACTTTATGCTGGCTCATTAAAATGTATTTTAACGCGCATCTCTGTCATTTACATATATGTTACTAATAAAGCATATACAATTAGACAATGTTTTGAACACTGCACCATGCAAAAGACCTGAGGGGGCAGCATTCACATCAAATAGCTGATCTATGACACAATAAGAGTAATACATTTTTATTTTTATTTAAAAAATGGCTTGGTTGGAAAAGCAACTTTGTTGTACATGGCCAATTATTTTCTCTGCTTTTTCACATTCTCTCAATTTTCATTGAAACAAGGTATATTATGTATTGAATTTGATTTACTGAGAGTCAGCTTATGACTGTATATAGCCAGGTAACAGTGAATGCATTATACTATGCAGATGATGCGATAAGGTATTGCTTTCAATTGGCCATCACATTACAAATTAAGACTTAACATTCCAAACAGTCAATAAGTCAATTATAAGGTTTCAAGTCGGTGAGAAGCTATGGTAAATTTAAAACTACTTAATGGTGGTCTTTGTGCATTTTAACCAATCTACAACACATGAATAAAAAGCAATCCATTATCTGATGGTGAAGTTTGAATAAAGTCAAAGAAAACGGTGCTGTGCAATGACTTCTTGACCTTGAATAGAAAAGGTTCAGATGAGAAAAACAAAGAAGAACTGTTTTCTATGATTGTCTGAGTAATTTATATCCGCCAAGCGATGCATGGATCTGTTTCTTTATGAATTAGAATCGCAAGAATGGAGACTTTCAAATACAAGGTCCTCCTGACTTCTGCTGGAGAATGTGTTTCGTTAACACTGCTAAGTTCAGTTATGGTGTACAACTTAACTGTCAGAATTCAATCAATGTTAAAAGATACATGGTGAGATACAAAAAATAAAATGTTGCGTAATTTTATTGATGAAATTCCAATGTGCATTGTTATTAGGTTTTCTTTGTTGCAAACCATACATACATATCTGCCAGGATAATAACTTTTTTGGCCAACAGCTACATACTTCCTATCAATGAAAAGATTGGAGCAAAAAGCACCTACTGTGAAATACTTTTTGTTTTGTTTTTTAATATTTGTGCTTGGAATTTATTTTCGCTATTTACACTGGAGGGATGATTCAGTGAAAATAAAATTCAGCAAATATACCTTTTTTCCTATATTTTATTTCTACCATTTGATCAAAAAATTTGAAATTTTTCACTACATTTCACGTGAAAAGACCAGACTATAAATGGAACTATTTTTTGGATGGTTTCTGAAGTTGAATTTGGTGTTCAAAGGTTTAACTTAGATGCTCTCAAATGCAACTGTATTTGTTAATCTGGAATGCACTAATAACATTATGAGTGCCAGTAGTTTGTTTCACTCACCAAATACAAGCATTTCCATAGTGATGCTAAAGGTAATGCAAATAAAATCTTGTTTACACTATAAACCCACTTAAGTGTCACTGAATAAATCAGCATGTATTTAAAAAAAAAAAATTCCCAAAAATGTTGACTAATACTCATATCCAAAAGAAAATTATGTCCATTTGATCCCAAAGTAACAGCAAAATTATAGAAAAATACCTAAATATATGCAAAAAGTTATACCAGAATATTAGTGAGAAAAATTTTGTCAATGGGTTGAATTGTAAAATTTCAGAATCATTGTATTGGACTTTGGTTTGTATTTTTAAGTTGAAGGGTATTTCAGGTATTTGTAGGTGGGAAATAAAGTAGGTATGAAATGGTATAGTACTTAAGATTCACTCACAGCTAACAAAATAAAACTCACACTTAAAATAACAGTCAAGTAAATCTGACACTTTTCTTTAGCTGCCACCTAATGATCCAACCTCAGTTGCGTTGCAACACAATTATGTAGTACCTTGTAAGCAGTTATTTTAAACTTTGTAATAATTTTTCAAATGTCAAAAGTGGGAAATTGTGTTTTAAAATTAAGAAGGGTGCATTAATTGACATACAGGGGTAACTTGTATTATTTTGAAGGAATTAAACTTTTCTTGGAATTATTAACTTTGTAAGCTGGTTCACCAAACTATTTTTCTCTGTTCTCTTAAATTATTACCAAGTAAGGGATGACCTTTAAATAATTTAGGAGGGAAAGACAACTGTAATTGTATTCTTTATTTAATTTTGAGGTATTTTAGTCAGGGTAATGTTGATGTAAATTTCTTTTGTTGCTCATTCCCATCACATGTGGGATGTTTATAAATCGCGTCGGTCGATACTCCTGCTGTACTGTCTGAGTGCATACTTTGAGGTATCCTTGTAATAATCTCATTATTATACATCTTTTCCTTCCAAGGATACATCATGGGAATGCCAAAATCAGTTCAGTGAACTTCTTTGTGTAGAGAATCCAATCAAACCCTGGTGGCAGCCATGTTTGTTTTTATTATTAGAGGACACTTATGCGAGTAATCATTCCATATTTGGAATTCTCATTTCCTTATATAAAAATAAAAATAAAATATCGCAAAATTACAGCATGCTGTAACTTATGGCGTATCGGTGACATATATATAATAATATAATTTATTTTT